CCACACTGCTCCTACCCTCCACTCTGTTCAGCCAGATGCTGTTGATACAAGTTAACTCATATGTAAAATCCCTTTGCATCCACATGGAACGTTATCATCTTGGCTTAGTTTCTGAACAGTCTAACTTGGTTTCTGAATCGACTGTTTTGGTTTCTGAATCGGCCGTTTTGGTATCTGAATCGGCTGTTTTGGTTTCTGAATCGGCTCTTTTGGTTGCTGAATCGACTCTTTTGCTTTCTGAATCGTAGCCGCCGAATCGCCTGGTTTGGTTTCTGAATCGGCTGTTTTGGTTTCTGAATCGGCTGTTTTGGTTTCTGAATCGTAGTTGCCTGATCGGTTGGTTTCTGAATCGGCTGATGACCGGGCGGAAAGAGTCGAAGATAAAAGGGGACCGACCAGACCTTCGGGGACTTTTCGGGTGTAGGTTTGGATCTCATAGTTTCAGTTTGGGATGAAGTCTACAGTACACATCAATCTGCCAACATGGACTCCAACACCACACTGGCTCCCTTGACCGAGACAAGAAGACCATGGGTCGACAGGGCTTTCAGCCGCTATACGGCCAGCGAACAAGACCTGAAAAGATTGCAGTGTATAGTTAACAACTCTGGCAATTGGTGGGTGTGAAATGAAATTCCTTCCGGGCCGACCAACAAAGACCTGTGCTTCTTTCCAGAACTGTGTGCTACAAGAGTGGTGCTTCAGGGCTTCAGGACTCACCAATTGGAATCGTTAACATCTGGGATGCTCAGTGCTCAGCTGAAGCATGATCTTACTCATGGCACCAGGCGACCGTTTTTGCAGGCCCGACCTACCTCACCCATTTGGCCAAAGACCGCTTCGACCGCGTGTGAGACACGGGTGGACTGGTCGCGCGGTGGGATTCGACCTCCCAAGACCTCCCACCCCCTGGCCCATCTTCGAAACGGAGGTGGGCCAGGAGCCCAAACGGGTTTTTCGGGGGGGGTGCGTCCTGTTGGACCCACACGAAACCGGACACCTGGAAGCCACACTTGGTTTGACTGTACCCTTCCAAATACAGCTAAGCAGCTACGGATGGCTCGTGTATTGATGTCCATACGTGGGAAGAGTAGAGCGGTCGGTTTGGTACCATATAGACCTATAATAGCCTATTGGAGGTACACTTGAGGGTGTCCCCTCTATTAATCAACCAATTAGTAACAGGCCAACTACGGACTGGAAAGGGGATCCCCACCTCTGCCCAGCAGAGGATTAGCAGATTTCGTCGTCCAAAGCACAAATGGTCCGAAACGATCAGCAGATCAAACACATTTAATTGCTAGGGCAGCTCATTGGGATCTCCAAAAGCATCAACCACTGAACTGAGTAATTTTATGTAATTTTGATCATATTACAATGGCCTCCGGGAGTGTAACCCCAAAATAGGAGGCCATCCAAACCCTCTGAGCTGCTGGAGAACTCAACGAACACCTACCTCAGTCGGCCTGAGTCTCGGAAATTTGGGGCAGCCAACTGTCTGGTGTCCAAGCCACTTGTTCAAGTAAATGAACCCGACTGACCCAGAAATTACCCTATTGAAAATGGGACATCACCCTATAAAGCAGGTATATACTTGTACCCATTTCCGTGGGACGAACTGAGACTCCAGGTACAAGTGTTAAGAAGCTGTCCCTCGCCACTGCCCAAATCCCTATGTTCCCACGGTTGGTTTCTAAACGCCGCCAACCCGTCGCAGTTCGTTTCCCCGGCCTCGCGTTTGGGGAGCCGTAGCTTGTGTCGCAAATCCATCTGGTCGAAGTCTTCCCGACCCTCAGCGGGAGAAGGACTGCATCACTCTAGGGTGATGCTACGTACCTTCTAAGAAGGTCTTTGAGGTGGGTTTGGAGGATCCAAATACCTTCTGGCTCCTTCTGGTCTAAACTAACAAGACCCTTAACGTCCAAACTTAACAGTCCAATCAGAAGGTACTTGGACCTTGGAGGGTCTTTTCATACCTTCTGGAGGGTTTGTACGAACGGAGCCCACTTGGTTCAGTGATTCTCCTCCAGGATTTCTGCTATGTGGACGAGCGATCTCCAAACGAAGGAAGCCAGCAGGAAGTCTCGCTGACGAACTCAGCCAATTATGTCACAGTGTGTCCGCTACCAGCGTCTATGTTGAGTCCTTCTGTGCATCCCCAATGAGCATCTCAGACACTCCTCAACTATATAGTATCCATATCCCCATATATGTTTCCTTCCTGTTACAGCTCGATGGATTCCTAGAATCTGTGAATACCAAAAGGAACGCGTTCTATCGTTCCACCATTTGCCTGCTATAGCTGTGAGCAGATTGGATCCACCCTCTATAGACCGACCAAACCGGAACGTCATCGTCTTGAGGGGCCATCGTCCTAGAGCTTCCAAGCATCGTCCCTTCGTTCTCCACTTCGTTCCACTTCCAACATCCTCTCTACCATGTCTGGCCATCGAGAGAGTAGCCATTTGGCTAAGTTTCTTGGGCATACTTGCCCAGTTCGCCTGGTCGAAAATCCCTTAGACATCCAGTCCTTTTGGATGCTTACAATCCTGGGTCGCCACTGGCCAGGTCCTCATCCCGGTGCGTCACTCGCCATGGGCAAAAACGTGAGCGCCACCCCTCAGGGCCACCCCAGCAAGCATCAGCACTGAGAGGCCTCCGCTGCCTCCGCTGTTCCTCACACGTGCGTGGGGGGCTTGCTTGGGAGAAGGTGATGGAAATCCGTTTTGGGGGGCCACATCTCTTGGGTACAAATGGTTGGATCAAGGCACCCCACGTTTTGCCGAGTTTCTTTTGTAGGGGGTCCAGGGACTTCTTTTGCCCCATCTTGTTCGGATGTGCTTGGTCAACTGCCACATTTAAAGAAATCCTTGGGGGTGATTTGAAACAGTCTCGATGGGGTATGCTATTATCTTATACTTTGATCCCAGGGTGGGGTGGGTGTGTGTGGGTGGGTGTGAGCCATACCACGTATTAATACCTGCTGGACCGTTAGATCTTCCGCCTTTGCTGGAGCCTGCCAGACTTCCTCTCAGCCAAGGCCGGGGGTCACATGCCTTGCCTTGCGCGACTGCTAGGCTCGGAAGCTGGCGAATCCACCATAGAGTGAGGCGACCAACCTGGTCGCGCTCAAAGCCAACCAGGCTCGCCTGCAGCCTCTTCATGTTCTGCCTCCCCTTCGCCATGAAGAAACAGGATGGAGATGCCACGTACGCCACACAGAACTGGTCAACAAAAATTGGAGGAAATCCTTTTTGGTCCTGCGAGTGCTGGCAGCGAAGAAGCTGCTGAGGCAGGCGACGAAGAAGCTGAGTGCGGCATAGATATGATCCCTCATGCCCCACTTTTCCTTTCGCTGCGTCTATCTGATGCAGCTGGGCGCACAATGAGCTACTCTTTCAGATCTTGGATCATTTGGATATATTTTGGCCGGATGGTATACCATTTGGACCATTCACCTTCATTTGGTTGAGCAGCACACTTTGCCATTTGAAGTACAGTATCCCCATCCTCGAAGCGATATTCACTGAATGCTGTATTCATGAAATCCGTCGCACTACAAAAACAACACTTCGGCTCCGTTGCAGCCTGGGCTGCTTGGGTTGGCTGCGGCCTGGGCAGCCTGGGCACGCCACGAAAGAAACCATCGCCTCTCCTCCTTCTTTGGCAAAACGCAACTCCCAAGGCCAAAAGCTGTGGCATGATCGTGCTGCGCACAGTCCGACTTCGGCTTGAAGGCATCGTGTGACCGGCAACAGTCAGCCGAACGACCCCTGGCAGCGAGCGCGGTCCAATTGTTCAGCTGCCCTGGTGATTGGCCTGTACATTCATGCCTCATAGGGGCATGTTGATGACTTCCTCACACGTCTTCGCCCTTTCGACGCCACCCGTTGTTAATCCAAGACAGCACGGTGCTCCCTTGACCCGCTCAGGTGAACAAAGGCCGATGGATCAGATTGAACAGCTTTTGGGCGGTTCCAAGTTTTGGTGCGAAAATGGGATCAGCGACTCATGAGTACAGCGACTCGTGAGCCTTGCCAGGTCCCTTATTGATGAGTTTACAGTTTACCTTGGGTCATGGGGCTACACCCTTTTGTGGCGTCCAGCTTGGCAGAGAGTGATGGTTGGCACTGGATTGTTTTTTTTGCTACAGGGCCTATCTCACTTGCAAACACATTGCTAGCCACTGGATTCATCAAGGTATCACTGGCATCGCCATGCGTCCCCCAGGGTCTTGTTCTACCACTAGCCGTTGGATGTTTGCCCGACTTCAGCCAAACCTTGGGGCTTGTGAAATGGCATGGTTCCTGCGTCAAAATATATATCCCTAGGGATCCAAGTGCATTCTGAGAAGGCACTTGGACCCTCCACAGCCACCCCAAACACCTTCTGAGAAGGTACTTGGATCCCTAGGGTGTATATATAAATATTATATATTATAATGGAAGCGAAGATCATCTTTGCAGGTGCGTTTTGGGAAAAGAACAACTCTAACTACCAGGATCATCGTGGGTGTCCTGGCGTTCGACTACCCCACCCTACGTAAACAGGTCTCCTACTCCAGGTGCTATATAGGCATCAATCCTATTAGGTTGGAGGCCATTGGGTTGAAGCCCATCGCGCATGGCGCAACGAAGTGCACCAGACTTGGGCCCCAAACGGATCGTCCGAGTTCCTTAGGATGCGAGCGGTGCGTTCGGTGTTTTCCACAAAGCCAATCTGAAGCACCTAGATCTGAGGTTTTGCTCATTGACCATTGACATAAACAAGGAAAAATAGAGATGAACAGGGACCCTCTGTAGACTCGAAGCCAATTTTTCACAGCGTAGAATCTGAGGTTCAGAGCAATGTAGAATCTGGTGTCTGATGGAGAAATGTTGATGCCTTTGACCACTTTCAATACCCCAGGGCTCCAGTCGATCTGTAATCTCACCATGTCTCTTCAAGGCATCAAACGGGCGTCTTGAAATCGCTTGCGTCTCTCTGGATTGGATATCATTGTCATTGTTATATTACTGTATATAAGGTGTTTCTTTTTCCCAAGGTTTCATGGCAAATCCTGAAACCGAAATGGCACCTATCAGCTGACACCCCTACACAGGGCTGCCTTGGTTGTATCTCCCGTTACCAGGGCCCAGTGGATGATGATGGTTAACCGTTATAGGTGGTGGCCTTTCCTATGTTTGGAACATATGTGAAACATAACCACCTAACTGTGACACATGTTGTCCAACTGCAGTTTACTAGGACCCCGCCGTTAGGCCTCTAGGCCGTCGACTCGACCCCAGTTGGACACCCCGTTCGCGTTCGCTACGCTACTCGCTCAGCTCGCGTCGTTGGAGCTGCTCGGATGGTGGCATTCCGGGGCCTCGGGGAGCGCTCCGCTGCGAGCGCATGGGTTTCCACGGAAAGCATTCACCCCTATAGGGATCCAGTCGTACCTTCTGAGATGGTGGGACTGGGCTGGGTGCCAGGAGGGTTTAAATACCTTCTGAGGTACTTGGATTTTATAGGGACTCCCAAACGCTCCATGCGACTGGAAGATATGCCACCCCATTGACTTGCCTGGCACCCCAACTGATCGGCATATATCTTCCAGTCCCATGGAGTGTATGGGACTGAGAAAGCCACCCAAATTCGGGGAATTCTTTCACTCCACCGCAGGGCTCCAGTCGGCTCCAGTAGACGAAAGTATGACTCCCAGTCCCACTGAACCGAAACGAAGGTGGAGCCCGCACTGGCCGTAGGGTCCGGTCAACAACATGAACAGAACAAACGACAGTACGAAGGAGGTCAACCTATACCACGGTTTAGGGCGGAATTAGACCCACAGCCATGTTTCAATCGCATTCAAACGGTTGAGATGGTTCACCCCGCTGCCACAAGCTAGTGGTTCCCAAGCTGCTGGCTGCTAGAACCTTGAGATGTCGCCAATCTGGATGTTGCAGCTGCAGCCGACAAATGAAACAGGGAGACAAGCCATCTGCAGACGTGACGATGTCTTTTGTACCCGTCTTTGGGTTGTCCGTTCTTCCATTCCCTCCCCACGTTCCAGAAAAACAGTACAGTTAACGTGTCCTGAATGTCCACAACAGTGTCCACCAGCACCACCCTTTTTTGGACAGTTATTGGATGGTAAAGGTATACATCAGGTACATCATAGGGCCGGGGGCGTCAATTGTCAGCACCAGATGAACAAAAATTGCTGGCAGAAGTCATGGTCCTACTCTGTCGTGGAGACCAAAACGCATCCGTTCAGATGGAGTTCTCCCAAAACGCACCCCACGTCAGCGCCCGTCTCGACTCAGTCGAAGTGACTTGTTCGAGATCAGAGCAGCCTGAAATGGCGCGGAAAGTCTGATTGTTCCGCAGGTCGCGTGAACTCTGTGACTGGTGGGGTGAATGAATAAGAGCGAAAATTTCCACCGAAAAACACCAACCTATAGATGTCCAACATCATCCAGGGGTTGCAAATGGATAGTGCTTTGGAGGATGGGTACTGTTGGGTGACCGGGGTATGGGGCTCCCAGCTTCGGACATGGACTTGAGCCGAAAGGCCGGTGTGAAAACAGAACCCCAACCGGTTTGGGTGGGGGGTGGGCCAGGGCGCACAAGCCACGTGGCACCGTGGGTGTCAGTGGGTTTGGGGGATTGGTTGGCTGAGTTGGCTGAACTCCAAACGTCTTGGCTTGGGTTTTTGACCTCTTGGGACAGAACCAAGTGACCCGGCGACTGAGATCGGATGAGGTCACGTCCTGGCCAGAGGTGGCCCTGGGCCAGCCTGTCCTTCTTTGTGCATGAATACCATGAATTGTGTAGAAGTTTAGATTGACAAATGGTTGCTCATCTAGTTGTATTCGATTCGGAAACACCGCAAGATGTCGAGTATTGCGAAATGCTTCCGCTTGCTTAAAGGAAATGGCTGTTCCGCTTGCGTAAAGGAAATGGACACGAAATACTCGTCCGATAACTCAACACCAAATGCTCAATCAGCGCCTAAAGAAATGAAAAACGCGCCTCCGTAAAAGATGTTCTCTATCTGGAGGTGTCCCCATTTTTTGCTTCAGCAGATTATGTATCCTAAACAAAAATAAATGCACCAACTGGGACAGAGCCGGATGACCACCCAATGAAGCGCCGGGAACATCGCCCATCACACATCGAACATCGCCCTCTATACGTCCGAGTTCTGGTCTGAAAAGTTCCGGTCCAACAATGGATTCCCGACGCCTCCAGTCATACCTCCTCGGAAGGTATGATTGGGACCCGACCCTCCTGGCACCCACCCCAGTCCCACCTTCGAAACGAAGGTATGACTGAAGGCCTAGGGTTCTGCAGCTAGCTGGTTCCCTGCATCACCACGGCTGGATAACTGGATCACTCCTCCCGATGTCCACCAGCACCTCGGAAACCGCTCCATCGACCCCACCGACCCCCGCGCCCCACGCGCCCTGCGCGCGGAGGGCGCTCGGCTCTGCTCTCGGCCTCTCCGAAGTAGTCTCCTGCCTTGAGCACGGCGATGAGCCCCTGCAGCGGAGAGAGGCGGTTAGGCGATGCGGAGGGAGAGATGCGGAGGTGAGAGAGGAGGCAAAAGGAGGATAGAGGAGGGGATGAAGGGTGAGGATGGGTGAGGAGGGCGGGTCGATTGAAATGACCACTGGGAGAGTTGTTTGGGATGACCACCGTCACATGGTTGCTCTTAGCTTTGGATGAAAGAGGTGACCCTTGGCAAGCTTGGCTGAAGTTGCATCAGCTTCGAGTGAGTGCAAACCACGTACCGGAAGCCCAGTGGGAGGGTCATCCACAGCCGGCACCAGAGGCACAAGTGGCGTAGACGCCAAGATTTTTTCGGTTCAAAAGGCAATCTCCCAAAATTTTGGGGCCCTGTATTCTAGTTACTCTCCCTGGAAGTAAAATGGAAGTGGAAAACCCACCGCTTCTAGAGGAAAATTGTATTTCCAAAAGCCATTTCCACTTGCATGTTAGTTCCAGGGAATGTACTAATTTACTACAGCGTTCCTGTACATCGTGTGGATAAATACACTTGGATCGAGGGTACAAAATCACTTCTGAGGGTGACTACCTGAAGCAAGACAGCGACATATGTGATTGAAGCAAGCAAGGAAAACACCAACAAACAGCATATCTCTTCGGCATGACACTTTACAAACCCCAGCCCTCTGCTTCAAACATAAAACAGCAAAAAAAGACACCGGAACGTCAGGAAACACCATGCTCCATCCACTTTGTGGGCTTCTTGGATGGGCATGTTTGTGGTCCCAATTGTCGACCCTGCGGCGGTCGACCGCACCGGTAGACCGACCGATGGACCTACCTGGGAGGACAAAGGACACTGGTGGACCGGTCGGGCTCCAGGTTTGGACCTCCCCCCTCCCCAGAAGTCGTCAGCTTCAATCATCCGAAAGATCTCCAGGTCGATCTCCGGCTCCACCAGTGACTTGGGGTTTTGATGGGGCATCTGGAAAGCATGGAGATGCAGCGCAGCTCCCCGTCAGGGTCGATCTGCTCCACCAGTTTGCTTCGGCGAAGAGAAGAAGGATGCAATCAAGAGAAGACACTCAAGAGGCCCCGGCCCAAGAAGCCGGTGGATCAAAGGAAGAGCCAACACCTACGGGTTGCGAAGGTCCCATTTTAGAGCTGCCAGAAGTTCCGGTTTCTCCAGAACCCCTCACAAAAAGCACTCCTGCTACTGAGAGGCACCACCCTAGCCAGGCTAGAAACCACACATATATTCTTTTTGAGGGACTCTCTGATCCAGAGGGTTGCAGCTTCTTATTGAAAGATTGGACCGTTTTCACAGCGGATGCGATTCTGATGATTAGGAAAGGCTTCACACTACTTACAAGTCTTTAGTGAACAGAAAGTTCTCCTACTACGACTGCTCAAGTGCATTTCTGCAAACCCCATGACATGCCCGTCTTCAGCCCGTGCACCTCGTTCTCGTCGAGCACATGCGCCTGCCATGTTCGATTCGGCCTCCGTCGCCTCTGTCTGTCAGGATGCTTAAGGGAAAGGGGTGAGATCTCGCCCTAGGCCGGTCGTACCTTCGTTTCGGTTCGGTGGGACGTACGGGTGCCAAAACGTCGGGTCCATACCGAACCGGTGAGGTTCGGTACGACGAAGGAGGTGTGGGGTCGGACACCTGAGATCTTTGTGAAGCAAACAGAGTGGTTTTCAGAGGTTCGGAGAGCTCCATAACCCTCCTAGATCTGAAAACATGGGGGTACTATACTAAACCGCCGACATCGGGGGGTCTGTGACATCTACTCTCAATCCACTATTATAATAATTGTCTTCTCTAAAGTCGTCTTAAATATTGTCTTGATTCACGGGTTTGCTCCTGGACGTGGTCTACTAAAACACAATAAAGAAAAGAAAGCAGCTGGAGCTCGGAGATCCGCGAGGATGTCGGAGCTAGGCCAGGTGCAGGGTACTGATGACGGCGTCACCAGTGTGCAGCAGGCCAGGGGTCAAGCTCGCGAGGAGCCTCCTCCTGGCCAAGGTGAGGTCATGCTCAGGTGTGGAAGCTCACGGAGATCGCCAGAAGAGGAACCGTTCGCCGATCCTATGTAGGATGGCGAAGGGATGCCTCCAGAGTTCCAGCGCTGTGTGCAGCGAAGTGCTACACACTGCAGTTGAGCGTCCAACCTCCCAAGCAGCTGTGCAAGAAGTGAGACGAAGAGAGGGTGCGAACTCATGCCGGCTTGACCACAAGGGGTCGATGTAGATGCCAGCAACTGGAGCTCTGTAGTGAGCACCCAAGGCAAGTAGTGAGTCGACCGTGAAGCTGTAGATGTCCGCCTTGATGAGGCGGATGCTCTCTGTGAGCTCCAAGACACTCAATTGTGACTGGAGACCCAGATGGAGGCTGGATCCTTGTCCAGACCGATGATCCGGTAGCCCTGTAGAGCCAGAGCACACGCATCGTGTCCGAGTCCGAGCCCCAGTGTCAGGATGACAGCACCTTGAGTGAGATGCATGCTGCGTGAGAGCAGCATGGCTGCATCTCCTGAGGATGAGCGCGCCACCATGGAGAACGGTGGCAAGTGAAGCCTGCAGAGCAGGGTTGGTGAACCTGAACATCCCCAAGGCTCTAGCAGGACCAGTCAGACCCTGTTGTTCACCAGTCACCACTGCAAGGCTCACGCAGCCACTGCTGTCAGTGACAGCAGTAGTGAAGAAGCTCGGAGACTCTTCATGCGCGATGAGTTCCAAGGAACCTTCTCTTGATGCGCTTGCGTGTCATGCTGTCCTGCACAAGTGAAGCTCTAGCCGCACCATCAGCAGCCAAGGAGATCTCTTGCCACTGCACTGCAGAAGTCAAGGCTTCATCATCAAGTGAGAGGGAAGTTCGCGCCTGACATGGCCTGTCCAAGATGGTCAAGAGTCTGCAGTGGAAGGCAGCAAGTACAAGTGTGTCCTTGGGTTCAAGAGCTGAGATGGGAGTGATGAGCTCGTAGAAGTCAGAAGCAGTCCCTTGCATAGCATCTGGTCCGGGCATCTTGTAGTTCTGGATGTTGACGAGTTCAGCCTGGTAGTCCATGAACCTCAGGAAGTCAGTCACGTTCACGGTGCCAACCAAGTAGGAGTCCAAGTCATGATCCTTGAAGATGCTCCACGCCGAAGGCTTGAGAGGATGAGTGTTGATGGGTAGCTCCTTGATGTTGTTGACGGTGAAGAAGCGAGTGAGCTGAAGATCTCCAACAAAATCGAACATGTGGTTGCAGATGGCTGCCATGGTGTAGATGACCAAGTTCCTGCCATGAAGTTGCTCGAAGATCTCAGGGATCAAGAGCCTGGTGACTACCTCAGAAGGTGGTCTCCATCTCACAGCAGTGTCAGGATGGCCAGTCTCACTCCAGATGAGTCGAAGACCGAACCAGTGAAGTCCCCGACCACAGTGCCAAGAACTCCCCATGTTGCAACCATGGCAGAAGAGGGCCAGAACTCAACCAAGCCGCAGTCAGCGGATGCCAAGTAGTCATCAGACAAGATGGTGTCGTTGAAGTGGTACCGCTTGGAGACGTCAGTGCAGTCAGCCAGAGGTGCTGCTTGCTCGTCCATGAGTTCGCGCCAGCAGTCAGCCAAGGGCCGGTAGACCATGTTGTTCATGAGCACCGTAGAAGGGTTCCCTGACTGGACTGCTCCGAAGCGGTTGTCCACCACTACTCCGCAGTGACACTGGACGTGGACTTGGATGCTCTGATCCACGAAGTGCAGCAAGAACACGCTCCACCTCTCTGCCACCTGGCGTGCCGCTCACTTGCGCAAGTGGTTGGCCATGCGACGTCCGAAGATGCCTCCCACGCGTTCGTAAGCTAGTCTAGCGGCTGTGAAGTGCCTTGGTAGCATGGAGTGGCAGCAAGGGTTCTTCCTGTGGCCAGCGCATGTCTAGGTTGTGACGGCTCTCGTCCGAACCGGAGACGTCGCGAGAGAACCAAGCTCGTTGGCTGCGGTTCAGGGAGAGCAAGGCATGAAGTGAGAAGGAAATTCAACCGAGCCTGGCAGTCCGAAGAGCATGCGCAAGCGTGGCCAGATGGTGAGGGCGGTGTAGGATGGAAGAGACCACAGATGAGAGAAGCACCGAGTAGAAGGCGATGCGCCGTGCCCTGGTGGCTCTTCCACCTTGTTCCTGCGCATGCGTGAACCATGCCGCCAGAAGTTGGCTTCACAGGAACTCAAGGTGCCTTCACGAACCGCTCCTGGAGTGAACTTGCATCGAGTTCGTCGTCCAGCTTGAAGAAGGCTTCAACAGGGAGTGGAGCGTTGTCAACCAAGAACGAAGAACTGGTGGCCTGAGATGTCAGAGAACACCTGTTGCATCATGCCAGAGAAGTCTTCAATGTCCCCACGAGTACGGATGGAGTGGCCCAGTCTAGCAAGCTTGTGCCGGCTGAAGATGACTGGTCCAGTGGCATTTCAGTGAACAGAGCCCAGCCACAGAGTTGACAGAGTTCAGGGCGCGGCCAAGACGAGGACAAGAGGAGGACAAGGCCTGAACACAGAGCCCAGCCACAGAGTTGACAGACGCGGGCAAGAGGAGGACAAGAGGAGGACAGGGCCTGGACACAGAGCCCAGCCACGCAGCCCCGCCACAGAGTTGACAGAGTTCAGGGGCACGGCCAAGAGAAGGACAACAGGAGGGAAGGCCTGGACACAGAGCCCGGCGCTGCCAAAAGGAGGACAAGAGGAGGACAAGGCCTGGACACAGAGCCCAGTTGACAGAGTTCAGGGGCGCGGCCAAGAGGAGGACAAGAGGAGGA